CGAGAAGTGCAAAGCAAATCACAATTCTGAAAACAAAATAACAAATTACAAACGCAAATGCAAGTCTAAAAAACAAAATAACAATCCAGAAAGCACAACAACAATTCAGAAAACATTATAACAAGTCAGAAAACCCAATGAAAAATCCGAAGAGGTAGGTATAGTTTGAGACAGCACCATTGGTTTGGGATTACTCACCGCTGGTTCTGCTCTGTATACGTTGATTGACAGATGTCTCGTCCAGTCAGCGATGAGTAATCCCAAACCAAACTATCTCAAACTATACCTACCTCTTCGGATTTTTCATTGTGTTTTCTGACTTGTTATAATGTTTTCTGAATTGCTATTTTGTTTTTTAGACTTGCATTTGCGTTTGTAATTTGTTATTTTGTTTTCAGAATTGTGATTTGCTTTGCACTTCTCGGCCACCGTAGTTTTATATATGAGATGAGGACATGACTGCAGCCGGCAATGACTGAAACCAGCACATCCAGTGCAAGGCGGCTTCAGCTTTTTAATTTTACTTAACATTATTTTATTTATCCATTATACTGAAGAGACCTTTTTGAAAGATATTGTTTTTTGTTTATTTGTTTTGGTTTGTAATTTTGAGGTGTTCAGTTTTATTTTGGTTTTAGAATATAAACGTGATTGCTCTCCTCACAAATCAGCTCTTTCTTGTTTTTGTTTCATGCTCTCTGTGCCTTGCCCTGGACTTTTGTCACTTCCTGTCTCCCGTGGTGTTAGTAGTCTGTTTGTTCATTTGTTCCCCTTGATTAGTCTCCACAGGTGCGTCTTATCTTTTTAAGCTTGTTAGCCCCCTGTGTGTATATATAGCCCTAATTGTTCTTTAGTTCCTTGTGAGTTGTTGAATGTAATGGTTGTCTGTGTAGTGTAGTGGAGTAATTTTCACTGTAATGTATCAGTACTTTTACTCAAGTATGGTTTTTAGGTACTCTTTACACCTCTGGGTGTGGGAAGTTGACCTGATGGACTTGCCACCAAGTGAGAGGGTCCATCTCACTGTCTATGGTGGGAGACATCATGTAGCTGTTCAATTCCGCTTCCACAGCGTGTGATGGTTCCATAGATGACAGAGCTGGGGATATCTTGAAGAAACTGCCCAGGGATTTTTTTGGCCGCCGGCTTTAGGGTGACATCTGATGGACCCATGCCCTTGTGATCTTGATCACTCAGGCTTTGCTCCTAAAATAGAGAAATAAAGTAAATATTGTAATCAAATCTAGTTATAGTGCATTATTTTGTCACTTACTATTGTCATATTAACATTTACCTTTGGCACAGTTGCTTCAATTTCAGACATCACCCTGGCTCTGGTGTCTGACACCTTGTCAGCGCTGATGTAGGCGGCTTTGAATCTGGGGTCCATAAAGCAGGTCATGTCCAGAAGTTCTTGAGTTGCTGGGTTGTCATACTTCATGTTCATGTACTCTAGAATCTTCATCTTTATGGACTTTGTTAAATCACCTTTGCAGCAAGAATTGAGGTGTTCATCAAGTGAAGTACAGGTTTCACATATGAAACACTTGCATAACTTTCACCCGACAGAGCATCTGTAAATTCTTGCAGGGGCTGCAATGCCTGGTTTATGGACTCAAGTACATCTAGGTCCTGCCAAGAAGGAACTAAATGTCTTGACTTTCTGTCTGCTGACAGGACGTCGCTTATGGCCCACTGCTGCTCTGGAACTCTCTGAATCATTTTCTGCCTTGAACCCCACCTTGTAGGGCATTCTGTGATGAGGGAGTGCTCCGGGAGGTTGTGCTCTTTTTGTGCTTTTTTTCAGGGCCATCTTCCCCTTCCAAGTGTGGGAGAAATGTCCCACTAACTTTTTGCTTCATGAGCTCGAGTAATGCGCTCATCATCTTTAACAGCATTTTCTGTAGAGTTAAGAAAAAACAAAACGAGGACATACAGGATGAAATAACATTACAGTACTATAATAAAAATTTTATATAACAGCATTTGAGATAGAAAACTGTGAGTTACAATTTGCTAACCTCTGTGGATTATATTTCCTAAATAAACACATTATCTTAAATATTACAAATCATGTCTATACTACATCCAACTGTACCTTTTTTTCAGTTTTAATTTTATTATTGCAAATTCATTCAACACTCACCGATGGCCAGATGCAAGCGGTGACCAAAGCATTGTAGTCTGACCCAATTATTAAGTTCGGTAGCCTTCACCACATTGGCTCCGTTGTAATTGACACTTGATTTTCCTCTAAGTTCCAGCTGGCTAAAACATCCCGCAGCCCATGGGCTATGTTTTCACTGGTGTGGGATTCGGGGAAATACACAACACCCAGACAGCGTGTTTTTAATTCAAAATCTTGAGTAAGAAAGTGAACGGTATAGCTCATGTACGGCTCAGTCGTACGACTGGACCACAGGTCAGTGGTGCTAGCGTAGAAGTCCACTTGGCGCAGCTCGGCTCTCACTGTCTTCACACAAGTCTCGTACATCTGTGGAATTGCGACATGAGAAAAATAATTCCTCGATGGCAGCTGATATCTTCGGTCCAATTTGTTAATTAGACCCACAAAGCCTTCTTTTGCTCACGGTGTTAACAGGCATCATGTCTTTAGCTAAAAAGCGTGTGATAGCATCTGTTAATTCCTTGTGGCGTTTCAACGTTTTTCTGTAAGGCGTTGCATTTGTCAAACTTTGATCGATGGTTGTCTGTACGACTCCCTTATTGTTACATGGCTTTTCGTTAGCAGGTTTGGTAGATTTGGCCTTACACTTTCGGAAGTCTTCAAATAGCTCCCTGTGGTTGTGTTCCAGATGGAGATTAGTTGTGTTTCCTCTCGACGTGACCACAGTTTTTCGGCACGACTTACACAGTACCTGCATTTGTGACACATCTTCTCTCTTGAAGCCGAAAAATTGCCATATTTCAGACGTACAGTTCTTTTTAGACACAAGTTCTTCGCTGCTGTCATTTTCCTCGCTGGTCTCTACTCCTGCCATATTTATTTTCCACTCTCTGCTCTGAGCCACTAGGTTCACCTTTGGGCCCGGTCTATCCAATAGCATAAAAGCACATACTTGGGAGGCGGGTATAAAGATAGTAAGGTCCCATCTGATTGGTCAAATTTGGACAACCTATGCATGCAACACACAAATCCTTAGCACATAAAATACATTTAATTTATCGCAACTCTCTCATGTCTTTAGCTAAAAAGCGTGTGATAGCATCTGTTAATTCCTTGTGGCGATTTGGCCTTACACTTTCGGAAGTCTTCAAATAGCTCCCTGTGGTTGTGTTCCAGATGGAGATTAGTTGTATTTCCTCTCGACGTGACCACAGTTTTTCGGCACGACTTACACAGTACCTGCATTTGTGACACATCTTCTCTCTTGAAGCCGAAAAATTGCCATATTTCAGACGTACAGTTCTTTTTAGACACAAGTTCTTCGCTGCTGTCATTTTCCTCGCTGGTCTCTACTCCTGCCATATTTATTTTCCACTCTCTGCTCTGAGCCACTAGGTTCACCTTTGGGCCCGGTCTATCCAATAGCATAAAAGCACATACTTGGGAGGCGGGTATAAAGATAGTAAGGTCCCATCTGATTGGTCAAATTTGGACAACCTATGCATGCAACACACAAATCCTTAGCACATAAAATACATTTAATTTATCGCAACTCTCTGCGATACAGATATCACGTATACTATTATCGCGATAACAATAATTTTCGATATATCGTGCAGCCCTAATTTCTATTATGATTTATTTTATTTGTCGAATATTTTATTTCAGCTTTTTCAATTTACGGAAATTATTTTTGAATAGTCTTATGTTTTTATTTATTTTTTTAAGTTTAAGTTGTTTACCTAATATTTATATTTTATTTCAGCTTTATTTCAATTAATGAAAACAAATTTGAATAGTTTTAGCAAACAATAGCAACATTGGTTATTAAACAATTTGTTTTAGCAATTGTATTAGTTTTTCTTCAAATAGTTATATTCATCTTTAACTTATTTTTATTTTAGTTTTGGTTAATTTTAGGACTTCATTTCAGATTTCTGATTTGTCAAAAGTTTCACATTTGTTTCCAAATTTCTTTTTTTTTAAGTTTTTTTTTATCTCATTAATTTTTTATTTTGTTTATTTTAATTAAATTTTTTTAAATTGTTTTAGTTTTTCTTCAAATAGTTATTTACCTTTAATTTATTTTTATTTCAGTTTTAGTTTTAATAATTTTAGTACTTCAACTTGAACTTTTCAGATTTCTGATTGTCTAATTTAATTCCTATTTTTTTACCCTTTTTTTCTAATTTATTAATTTTATTTTAATTTTATTTTAATTATTGAAAACATTTTTAAATTGTTTTAGGTAACAGTTACAAAGCTGGTTATGAAACAATTAAGAGTGAATTGTATTACAAGCAGTATACATAATAAACACTCTTTAAATGATATAAAGCATTAGTAAAGATGTCATGATGCTACTCTTCTGTGTGTTTGTTGCAGGTGTCTGTCTCAGCGAGGAGGACTGCCTCTGCTGCTGCATCTCAATCTCTCCGGCTGTCTGCTCATCACGGGGGCGGGGCTTCAGGAGCTGGTGTCCGCTTGCCCCTCCCTCAACATCGAGCACTTTTACTACTGCGATAACATTAACGGTAACACATAGACAGAACACCATAGTGCATGCAAGAGTCCAGCCATACAATCGACATGAATAACGAATGTCTTTCACTGTTTGTTATTTATGAAACAAAAACGTACAACTTTCATAACTCGCTCACAAACTAGTTTTCATTTCGTTAACGAAAAATGCATTTTTCCCATGACTAAGACGAGACGACAGTAAGGTCAATAAACGATAACTGTGACTTGGGGCTGAGCGATTTGGCACAAAATGTAAATCTCGATTTTTTTTTCAGAACGTTTGACCGATTATCGATTTTTAAAAAAAAAAAATGTTTACGATTTTTAACTAGTCAACTTGAAAGTGTAACTACAACATGATTCAAGTAACTTTTTTTCTTTATTATCCCTGTAGTTAATAAATTCTATTCCAAGTGCAGCACACATGAAGTTGTTAAACAAATCACTTGTTAAATATCTTTGCAGAAAAAAATGCATGAACTACAACTACATCTGGTACAAACTTGTCTTATGCATATGTGACCCTGGAGCACAAAAGCAGTGTTAAGTCGCTGGGGGATATTTGTAGCAATAGCCAACAATACATTGTATGGGTCACAATTATACATTTCTCTTTTATGCCAAAAATCATTAGGATATTAAGTAAAGATCATGTTCCATGAAGATATTATGTAAATTTCCTACCGTAAATATATCAAAACTTAATGTTTGATTAGTAATATGCATTGCTAAGAACTTCATTTGAACAACTTTAAAGATGATTTTCTCAATATTTAGATTTTTTTGCACCCTCAGATTCCAGATTTTCAAATAGTTGTATCTCAGCCAAATAGTGTCCGATCCTAACAAACCATACATCAATGAAAATGTTATTTATTCAGCTTTTAGATGATGCATAAATCTCAATTTAAAAAAATTGACACTTAAAACTTGTTTTGTGCTCCAGGGTCACATATCAACATGCAATATCATTGATGAAAAAAACCTAAAATGTATTATTAAAAAATAAAACTTTACCAAAACCTCTTAATTTTCGTCGAAAAAAAGGAGACAAAATATTATACGAGCTTTCATTTGTGCGGTTGCCAGATATCAAGAGTTCAAATCTGCAAATCAGAGCTTCACTGTTAAAAGGATACATTTTCTGCCTGGTGTTTTGCGTATTTTTTGCGATCTGGCAACCATGCGCTCGCTCTTCATCACAAAAGCGCCGACGATGATCCGACAAACGAGTAAACTAAAGTTCAGCGATCGCCATGTGAGACGTTCAGCTTAAATGAGCTCGATCTGATCTCCTCTGTTTCGTTTGCGATCGTGTTCGCTGATTAAATGCACTTGCTCAACCGCTGTTGTTTTAATAGAGAAACATTATTGCAATTTGGAATTACTATTAGGAATTGTACTGTTAAAATGTAACAATGTAGACCGAGAGAGTGCATATCTAAGTCTTTGATATTAATTAATATATTAAATAGCCTATAATAAACCCGTACACTAGATGAGGTCAAATAGTCCACATTCTATTGATTTGTGCTTATTGGTGAAAATGCAATACCTGAAATGTAAAAAATAATTTTCCCAAATGACAATCTTTTCGATTTATAATTGAGCAATTTTTTAAAATCAGTTTAACTATTATAAAGCATGACGAAAATGTGACAGTTTTCCATTGACTAAAACTTGACTAAACAAAAACCGGACAAGTTTGACTAAATATGTTAACTAAAAAGACTAAGTAAAGTAGACTAAAGACTAAATAAAAAATGGCTGATGAAATTAAAACAAAGTTTCTCCAAACTGTGTTTCTAAATTGATGAAAAGCAAATAATAATAAATGATTTATTGTGATGGTTTATTTATCAAATAAATATTACAAAAACATTTTTATAAAAAAATTTGTAATATTTATTTTTTAAATAAATGTAATGTCAATTTGACATTTTGTATTTATTATAAATAACAAAGTTCAAATCAGAATTAAATAATTTTTAAAATATAACACTAAAAAAAGAGAAAATACTTTTTTAAAGAGAAGATACTATTTTAGTATTGAGATACTGTTGGTGTTTTTTAATATTATCCATTTGTTTTCCGTTTTCATTTCATTTTAGTTAAAATTATATATATTTAAGTGTGTGTGTGTGTGTGTGTGTATATGTATATATATATATATATATATATATATATATATATATATATATATATAAATGTGAATAAAACACACGCACATTCTTAAAATCTCTAAATATTTTAGCTTAAATGTGCTTGGCTGACAAACATTTGAGAATCCCTGTGCTACATGAATGTAATAAATGTATGATGTGATGTATGAAAAAGTCTGCTAAATGTAAATGACTGTAATGCACACAATTCCACATATGAAGTCCAAACCCAAGTATGACGGCATCTTGGTGAGTAAAGGGTGTGTTATTATGAATTAGGGCTGCACGATTAATCGAATGCGATTGTCATGCGCATCTTGTTAGTAAAGCCGGTTCTGTAATCAGCAGGAAATCATCATCACGTGCTTTCAGATGGAGCAGCATCTACTACACATAGCCGTAGTTCACTGACAAGTTACGCAAAAAAAAGCGCAGACGATTTTATTGCGTGATTATGAAATCGAAGAAATCGTTTGCGATAATGACAGCTGTTTGCATAGCTTCTCAGTGAACTACGGCTCTGTGATGTAAATGCTGCTCCATCTGAAAGCATGTGAAAATACCACATTTAATAACATATTTTTACTCCAAACTCACTTCATAACGTCAGTCGAGTGTTTGAAATAAATCCTTCTGTGAGATGATGTGGCTTCTGACACAGAATAAGGCACGCAACATATTTCATAGTATTTAAGCAGTGATAAAGGCATTGCATTAGAAATATACTTTATTTTAATGAAAATTATAATAATAAGATCTCAGATAAACCATATATTGCCGTAGTCGTGTGTTTATTAGTCACGCTGAATCAATGAAAGCAGTTGAATCGTCTGTTTATTCAGCTGCAGCGATAGCATTTTCTGGGTTTCTTCTGCGAGGCGTATTTGGAGTTTCAGCGCGAGAGCACCTTCTGGCCTTTGGATGGAGATTTACTGCTGATCACAGAACCGTGCTTCACTGAAAGATACGCATGACAATCACAGCTTCTGTCGAATCGCGATCTCAATTCCGTTTCAATTTATCGTGCAGCCCTATTATGAATTCTGGCTTTATCTGACTTAATAGACTAGTTGCATTTTATTATCCACATTTAGCATGTTTTCTGTGCTCTTGAATGCGTCTCTAGATGTGCAGTTTATTTTTCTCAGTTTAGTGAATCTTCTCTGTGGATTCATTTACTCAAACTGTTCGCGCCCGCGCATGAATTGAGAGCGTTGTCTATGTATTTAGGGTCTTCTTAACTTGAGTTTCTGTGGTCCTGCAGGTCCTCATGCTGACGAGGCCAGCGGGTGTCAGAATCTGCAGTGTGGCTTCAGGGCTTGCTGTCGATCCGGAGAGTGACGCTCTTTTCTCTGTATTCATCTCTTTACCCCTCTCTCATCTCTCATCCATGTGCACTTTAATCGGGAAATTGGTTCGAGATGCTCTTCGACGCAACTTGCTTTCCCTAAAATCAAAAACGCTTCAAATAAAGTGAAATTCGGCATTGCAAACCTTCATCTGAGAGCTATGTGTAAATAACTCAACTGTCCACAGGATTTTCTGACGCTCTTTAATTGGAAATTGAGTGCTTTAAGATGCCAGTTCAGCATAGTGTGTGTTTTTTGTTTTGAGTATTTCACCCAGGCACATAACACCTCCGTCTCTAACTCAATTCTGACTTTACGGAGTCATTAGGTTTGATGTTAAAATCACCTGCTTTGGTTCCCCTACTCTGGACTAATAAGGTCGTGAATAGGAAAAGACTCTAGATAAGTTAATAGGCTTGAGTTCACGAGCTCATTGAGTTGTAGTTTGTCAAACAATGCAGGTTTCTTTTGGAAACAGCCAGTTTATAACCAGTGTTCATAACCTGATGCGGAGATGACTGCCAGATAGTCAGCTGCTAATATTCTCTCCAGAGCTTTGAGCGAAACATCGTCTGTGATTAAATATCTGGCAACCGTGTCAAAGTAGAGAGCTTTCCCCGTAATTCAAGCTTTGGTTGGTTCAAAAAAGTGGTTTGTGAGCTGTAATAAGTCCTGGGTATGTTATACTCGTTAATTCTCCACTCATTCTTCTTGAGTTTTTTTTTGTTTTTTTAGATGCTGCATGATCATGTTTCTTTTGAGTTCATTAGCTGACCATTAAAAGCACCTTGAGACAACATTTGTCTGTGTTGAAGTCTTTATTGAGCATAGGGGTTGTCAAGGACAAAACAACATCACAAAAGTATACAAGTGTCCATATGACATTATATTCCAAGCCATATGAGGAGAAGTCGTGTTGCATTTCTGCTTCTGCATATTCAAACTTGGTGGTTTGTGTTTATTGACGAGACCGCTACGAGAATCAACGGTGTTTGGTTTCGATGACCTCAAACCTGCGCAAGTCTGAAAATGTACAGGTGTGAAATTCAAGATATCAAAATTCATCAAAATATCTTACTGTTCTGTTGTGTGGAAAAAAGAAAGTCATATAGACTTGGAACAGCACTGTAAGTATTAAAGCATGTCTGGAAAATTAACTCCTACCTTCAGTTTACCATCAAAAGACAACACCGATCTAAACAATGTCTCGAATGTGAAGATAAAGCATTTTTGCCTTAAATGTGGTAAATGAAATATAAAACAAATGTAAATCGAGAACCTGAGTGTAGTACCTTACAAACCGATTCCCTAAGGCATGAAGCAAAGAAAGAAAAAAAAATCAGCTAAACTCTAGATTTGCTCACCACTGTCCTGAAATGATATGGATGGGACATGAAGATAAGAGGAAAAATTGTATTTCAGTGCTTTTCCATTCCCCTGAGAAATGCAGTGTCCACATGAAACTCTGCGTATGGTTTTGTGAGGGAACGCAGAGTTTCTTGGGGGAATGCAAAATGTTTGAGAGAATGCACAAGCATTGAAATACAATTTTTCGATATCTCATATTTTTTTTCTATCATATTACTTCAGACTTATGTGCCTCTAGAAGCTTACGTTCTGCAAGTGAACGGCGCTTTATTGTTAATCCCAAAGCAGCAGAAAATCACTTTCACAGACTTTTACACTAACCGTTCCCTCCTGGTGGAATAACCTGCCCAACTCAATCCCAGCAGCTCAGTCCTTAACCATCTTCAAGAAACCACTAAAAACATCTTTATTTGACCCTCTAACTCTAGCACTCTATTATAATTCTATTCTTCAAAAACAAAAGAATAGACTTGCACTCTATTCATTTGCTGCTTGTTTTCTTTAAAAAAAAAACTAACACTTGCTTTCTAATCTTTTTGTATTCTATCTGTTGTCTTTTCATTTATTATACAATTAACAAATGCAAAAAAGACCTCTAACACTAGCTTGCTCTATTTTTATTTTCTGTTTTCTTTTTATTATATTGTTTAAAAAAACCCTTGCTATGTGTACTGCGTTAAGGAACTGAGACTTGTTATAGCACTTGCATATTATTGCTCTTTTGTTAGTTTTGATTGCTTTTATTATCCTCATTTGTAAGTCACTTTGGATAAAAGCGTCTGCTAAATGATTAAATGTAAATATTCCTTTAGCGTCTCCGGGGGATTCTTTACAGGTAGGCACAGGTCCCATGTGGAACTAGTTATATCCTACTTTCAACCTCAGCCCTCTTACCAAGTGTGCATTAAGATCGCTAAAGATGCTGGAATCCACCAGTTCTTCCAGTGACTGGTTGCTCTGCAAGGTTTTTTCCAGTCCAGCAGTGAAACCGTCTGTACTTGTTGCTTTTGGATGTATGGAAATTCTGAACACAAAGGTGTAGTTTAGCTTGAACATTGGTGAGACAAAAGGGTGCCATACTTTGGAATAAAACTGGTTTGATGGCAACAACAAATTTGTTCAAACGGTGACACTGACAAACACTTTTTTTGCTTTCGTTCTTGTTTGGGGTGAAGTGTGTAACTTTTCTGCACCACTAAAGGCACCAGAAGGAACTGCCCCTCTCCCATCTTCTAATGTTCATGGTTCAAGTCACTTTGGGAAGTCCACCAATGGCTTAATTATAGCTCATGTCTATTAATCTGGGATAGGAGAAAGTGTTTGGAAAATTATTTCACTTTTTAATCTCACCCTGAGGCCACATGATGCCTTTTGGATTTCCTCCATCTCAGCCTCTCGATCCGTAACCGTCGTCTTGGATTTTCCAGCTGCCTCTGGGAATCATTGGACATCGTCACTCAAGACCTCAATCTTTTACTTTTAGCATCGCTGTTGTGACCGAGAACTGTCACAGGCACTAGCTGTGTGTCATAACCTGTTGAGGCAACTTGAATTAGGTATGTCTCCTATTATCATTGCCTTTTAATCATTATGTCTTTGTTCTGAAGAGTTTACAAAGTCTTGTGACCCTGGAGCACAAAACCAGTCATAAGGGTCAATTTCTCAAAATTGAGATGTATGCATCATCTGAAAGCTGAATAAATAATCTTTCCATTGATGTATGGTTTGTTAGGATAGGACACTATTTGGCTGAGATACAACTATTTGAAAATCTAAATATTGAGAAAATCATCTTTAAAGTTGTCCAAATGAAGTTCTTAGCAATGCATATTACTAAACAAAAATTACGTTTTGATATATTTACGGTAGGAAATGTACTAAATATCTTCATGGAACATGATCTTTACTTAATATCCTAATTTGGCATAAAAGATAAATCTATCATTTTGACCCATACAATGTATTGTTGGCTATTGCTACAAATATCCCCCAGCGACTGGTTTTGTGCTCCAGGGTCACATTTGAGCAACATCTACTCTGTAGTGGAACCAAGTCCATACCAACATCCCTCATCAAAATACCATTTGTAAACCAAACTGTAACTGTCTATTCTCATGCATATTCATCGAACCAGTAAAAAATGGCTTGTTAATGCATTGCATATTAAAAACAGGTACTTCATTGGACTCAAACCAATCCTGACCCACAATTACCTGCTCCTCTGCTCGTGCTGTAGCAGCCCAGACCATGTCCTCTGTGGTTGGTGGGCATTGGATTCGTCTGGATCTGCAGCTGGAGCCTCGTTTTCTTCCAGATCTGTCCCACATGAGGAGTCCTGTTTGCACTGTTTTCCTGCAGGTCCTGGAGGCAAACCGAGCACACGCATGAGTCCTGCTCATCTGCCATTTGCATGGAGAACAAGCAGCTCGGTGTTAAAGGGACTCCACAAACAGTTTCGTTTTGTTTCTTTCTTTTCCTCGAGCGTGTTTGTGGGCGGGACTCTGTTTATGTGTGTGTGTACCTGTTTTTCTATTCTGGTGGGGACTTAAACCTGACTACACACAGACTCATGGGGACTCGTGTCACGGTGGGGACCTAAATTGTGGTCCCCACGGGTACAAAAGCTTATAAATCATACAGAATGAAGTTTTTTGAAAATCTAAAAATGCAGAAAGTCTCCTGTGAGGTGTAGGGTTGGTGTAGGGCAATAGAATATACGGTCTGTACAGTATAAAAACCATTACGCCTATGGAGAGTCCCCACTTTTCACAAAAACAAACCTGAGTGTGTGTGTGTGTGTGTGTGGACAGATAAAGAGAGACAGTACTGAAGCTTGCTCTAACGTTAAACCTAAACACAGAGAGACACACGGTTGCTTACCAGGATGCTGTTGCTTTGTGTTTAGCAAAATAATACCAGACTAACCAGCTAGTAAAATGAATTCAAATAGTCTGAGTGTGCCGGAGAGACACTGTACCATCATGTCTCTTTTCCTTTTGACTGCCATTACTGTGTATTTGCATACAGAGGAAAAGTGAGACGGACATTTGACATCTTATACTGTTACTGTTTTTTATGTCCTCAGTATTCAGCTCTAGTGAGTGAGTGTTAGGTAAGGTTTATGTGTGTGGACAGAGTCCAGGGACCGTGCAGTTGTCAAACAGAAACTTGTGTAACTTGTTGAGGGACAATAAAACAGTAGGACGGGCTGTTTCATAATTTAATGCTTTTTGTTTTTTAATTTTATTGCATGGAGAAGGCATGGTTCATGTCATTTCTCTGATCAACATCCCTGGAATTATTTTAATGTTTTAAGATCAATATTAATAACTCCAATGATGTTAAGGAGTAATAAATGTTTTAAAGTCCTTGTCTGATGGCTGACCCAGCAGATGTGCTTGTATAAAGCAGAAGTACACTATAACTGAAGGATGTGAACTTTTTCTCAACAGCGAGACGAATGTAATTGTTTAAGTGAAAATGTTTGTATAACTGGTCACCATTTCTTTGAAGTTTTCACTACTTCAACTTTTTCATTTCATTTTAAATGATCCTTTTAGTTTGGCAGGATAGTTGAAACTGAGCGGCCCTTTTGCATTTGTCCTTTATGCTATAAAGCTATTATTTGAATATATACATTGTGCTGAATCTATCAGTTTAGCTCCCAAATCAAGTTCCCTCTGCAGTGTCTGAAGCGTGTCCTGTGTAAAGGTGCAGCTTTAAGCTGAGAACACTTTAGGGACAATATTGTTATGAATCAGGTATTTGTCATCTTTTATTAATAAACCCAAATGATGACTTAACTATTTTAGTGGTATTTTAAGACGACGGAATTGATCATAGAAATCCGCAGTATTCATCATGAAATTCTAAAATGTTGTTATATATTTCTCATGAAGAGACATTAATAAAACAAAGTCATATCAGCTCCCAACAGCTGCTGGTACCAATTTGGTTTGATGTCTAAACGCTGATGCATTGACTTCATAAAGTCTCCTGTATTCATAGCACGTGTGACACACCTCGTGTTTTTATGAAACCTCATTCACATAAATACTCTCTCGCGCTCTCTCTCTCTCTCTCTCACACACACACACACACACACAC